AAGAATATTCAGTACTTGTATACACAATGTTCAATTATGAAATATTCAATACTTGTATATATTTGTATCCAAAGTATATAAATAATTCTTATAAGTTAATAATAAGAAAGTTAACATCCTAATCAAAAATGGGCAAATGATTTGAAGAGACACTTTATAAAAGAAGATTTATGAATGGCCAAAAGCACACAAAAAGATTCTCAACATTGTTACTCATGATGGAAATACAAATTAAAACCACAATGAGGTAATACTGCATACCCACTGGAATGGCTCAAGTTTAAAAACAGTGATAACAAAATGTTGGCAAGAATGTGAAGCAAATAGAACTCTTAGATTTTGCTGTTGTGAATGCAGAATGGTGCAACCACTTGGAAACCAGTTTGGCAGCCTCTTCAAAAGTTATATATACTCCTGCCAGATGACAGTCATTCTACTCTTAAGTGTTTACCCATGAAAAATAAAAGCATGTCCACATAAAGACCTGTACATAAATACTCATAGAAGCTTTGTTCCCAAAAGGAAATAATCCTGATGTCTATCAGCAAGTGAATGGACAAACAAAATGTGATATATCCACACAATGAAATACTATTCAGCAATGAAAAGGAGCAAACTTGATACAAGCAACATCATGGATGACTATCAAACTCATTATTCTGAGCAAAATAAACCAGACACAGGAGAGTACGTTTTGTATGGTTCCATTTATATAAAATGCAAACTAATCATTAGTAACTAAAAGAATAGTAGTTACCTTGGGTGGAAAGTGAAGGGAGGGATGGATTGCAGGAGGGCACAAGGAATTTTTTGAGGTTGATAGAAATGTTCTGTATCTTGATTGTGTGGTGGTGCGTATGTACAACTGTCAAAACTCTTCAAATTATATGCTTTAAAGCAATTTATTGTATGTAAATTATTCCCAGATAAAGTTGAAGGAAATGGGGAAAGGGTAATAAAAATGGACATTTAGGGGCCGGCCAGGTGGCATAGTGGTTAAGTTCACATGCTCCACTTTGGTGTCCCAGGGTTCACAGGTTCGGATCCCAGGCACAGACCCAACGCTGTGGCAGCATCTCACATAAAGTAGAGGAAGATTGGCATAGATGTTAGCTCAGTGACAATCTTCCTTAAGCAAAAAGAACGTTGGCAACAGATGTTAGCTCAGAGCCAATCTTCCTCACACACGCACAAACAAATGGACATTTGGATCAATGGAATAGAAAACAGAATCCAGAAATCAACCCACACATATCTGGCCAATTAACTTTTGGTAAAGGTGCCAAGGCAATTCAATGGAGAACGTATAATCTTTTCAGTAAATGGTAGCAAACAAACAGAACCTGACTCTTATTTCTCACCATATATAAAAGTAACTTGAAATGTATCATACATCTAAATGCAAGTGCTAAAACTATAAAACTCATAGAACAAAATACAGGAGAGAATCTTAGTGACCTTGAGTTTGGCAAAGATTTCATAAATAGGGCATGCAGGGGCTGGCCTGGTGGCACAGCGGTTAAGTGTGCATGTTCCGTTTTGGCAGCCCAGGGTTTGCCAGTTCAGATCCCGGGTGCAGACATGGCACCGCTTGGCAAGCCATGCTGTGGTAGGCGTCCCACATATAAAAAAGCAGAGGAAGGTAGGCACGGATGTTAACTCAGGGCCAGTCTTCCTCAGAAAAAAGAGGAGGATTGGCAGCAGTTAGCTCAGGGCTAATCTTCCTCAAAAAACAAAATACGGTACACAAAGCATGAAAAATATTAACAAATTGGACTTCATCAAAGATAAAAATATTTGCTCTTCAGAAAACATTGTTACAGAAATTTAAAGGCAAGCCACAGACTGGGAGAGCATTTTGTGAAACATATGTACAACAAAGAGCTTGTATTTTGAATATATAAAGAACTCTTAGAAGTTAGTAATAAGAAGACAAAGAACCAGTTAAAAGTGGGCAGAGATAAACAGACACTTCCCCAAAGTAGATATACAGATGGCAAGTAAGCACATGGAAAGATACTCAACATCGTTAGTCATTAGGAGAAAATGGAAATTAAAATCACAAGATACTACTGTAAACTCTTTAGAATGGCTAAAATTAAAAAGACAGACTGTATCAGATGTTGTCAAGGATGTGGAATAATCATAACACGTAGACGCTGTGTATGTGTTAGACACATAACACTTACTTATATGCTGTGGGAATGTAAAATGTAAAACCACTTTGAAAAACAATTTTATAGATGTTTAAAAAATTAAACAATCACCCAACATACCTTCAGCCATTCGGCTCCAAGAGAAGTGAAAGCATAGGTCCATACAAAGACTTGTACAAGAATGTTCATAGCAGCTTTATTTGTAATAGCCAAAAACTAGGAACAAATCTAAGATCCATCAACAGGTAAATGGATAAACAAATTGTGGTTTATCTTTATAGTGGACTGCTTCTCAGTATTAAAAAGAAATTATTTTTTTTCAGTTTTATTGAGATAAAATTGACGTATAACATTGTAGTAGTTGCAGATGTACAACATGATGATTTGATATATAGTCATGTGCCGCATAACGACGTTTTGGTCAATGAACAATGGACTGTATGTATGATGGTGGTCCCGTAAGATTATAATGGAGCTGAAAAATTTCTATAGCCTAGTGATGTTATAGCCATCATACTCTGTAGTGCAATGCATTACTCATGTGTTTGTGGTGATGCTGGTGTAAATAATCCTGCACTGCCAGTCATATAAAAGTATAACACATACAGTTAGGTACAGTACATAATATTTGATAATGATGATACACAACTATGTTACTGGTTTATGTATTTACTGTACTATACTTTTTATCATTATTTTAGAGTCTACGCTTTCTACTTATAAAAAAAGTTTATTGTAAAACAGTATGCCATGTTACGCTGGCAGCAGCCTCATCTCATGTTTACTGTGTGTCTTGATTGCATCATCTTCTCTGGTGCTTGACTTAATCCTGTGTTGTTTTGTTCATCGTAGCCTCTAAGCATACAAAATCCACTACCATTGTTGCCAGTGAGAGGCCGCATTGAGTGATTGACCTGGAAATGAAATTAAAAGTAATTAAGGACTAGGAAGGTGGAAAATCAGTGCTGGTTATTGCTCACCAGTCAGCATGTCCCATTCCACCGTAGCTACGATCTTGAAGAACAAGAACAAAGTGAGAGAAGCTGTTAAACAATCTGCTTCATTGAAGGCAATGAGACTAACAATTTTGAGAAGAGCCCATACCAGACATGGGGAAACTTCTAATGACCTTCTAAAACTTCTAATGAATTGAAGACCAGACACAGAAGCGTTTTCCTCTCTGCACTATGACAATCCTGGCCAAAGCAAAAAGTTTGTTTGCATTGTTGAAAGAAAAGGCTGGACCCGACTATGATGTTGAATTTACACAATTATGTTGATTTAAACAATTCAAGAGTTGTTATTCGTTACTTAATGTGAAAGTGAGTGATGGTCTGAGTGCTGATGTGAAGGCAGCTGGAGAATTTTTGCAAACTCTGGATAAGCTGATTGTGGAGGAAAATTACTTGCCAGAGCAAACATTCAATTTGAGTGAAACCTCCCTATTCTGGAAACAATGCCTGAAAGGACTTTCATCCATAAGGAGGCCAAGTCAATGCTAGGTTTTAAGGCTTTTAAGGACAGGATAACAGTCTTGCTTGGGGACAGTGTTGCAGGCTACAAATGGAAACCCTTAGTGATCTGACACAGTGAGAACCCCAGGGCCTTTAAGCTTATCAGTAAGCACACACTGCCAGTATAGGACAGGAGCAATAAGAAGTCATGGGTGAATCTCCTCTTCCAGCATACCCTCCTGAATTGCTGTGTCTGTGAAGTAGAGAAGTACTGACTGGAGAATAACATACCTTTCAAGATTTTGCTTATTGTTGATAATGCTGCTGGACATCCTCCTTTTATTGGCAATCTTCAACCCAATATCAAAGCAGTGTTTCTCCCTCCAAACGCCACCTTTGGAACAAGGAGTGATCTAACCAGTGGATCAGGGAGTTATAGCAGCTTTTTAAGGCCTACTACCTGATCAGGAGGACCTTTGCTCAGGCTGTTGCTGCAACTGAGGAAAACATTGAGAAGACACTGATGCAATTCCGGAAGGATTACAACTTCTATGACTGCATCAGGAACCTTGCTTGAGCTTAGGGTGATGTCAAGAAGACACTCAAGAGGTTCATCCATGACTTCAAAGGATCTGCCAAGGAAGAGGAGGTTGCAAAAATCAACGAGGCTGTGGTTGAGATGGCAGACACCTTAACCTGGATGTGGATGACAGTGAGGAGCTCCTAGAGGTGGTTTCTGAAGAACTGACTGAGGAGAAATTGTTGCAACTGGAACAAGAACGCATAGCTGAAGAAGACACAGAGAAAAGGAGACTGCAGGAGAGAAAACCCCCAAGAAAATCCAAGTGAAAGCTTTGGCAGAAGCTTTTGCAGACTTCAACAAGCTCCTAAAAAGTTTGAAAACATGGACCCCAACAGCAAAAGATTTTCAATAATAGAGAGGAGTGTTCATGGTGCATTATCTGCTTCCAAGCAAATTTATGATGAAAAAAAAGAAATCAAGCAAACCACCATGGACATATTTCTGAAAAGAGTAACACCTCTTCAAGACTAGCCTCCAGCAAGTCCTTCAGGAGGTGTTCCAGAAGAAGCTATTGTTATAGGCGATGACAACTCCATGCGTGTTATTGCCCCCGAAGACCTTCCAGTGGAACAAAATGTGGTGGTGGAAGACAGGGATATTAATGATCCTGACCCTGTGTAGGCCTAGGTTACTGTATATCTCTCTTAGTTTTTAACAAAAAAGTTTAAAAAGTGAAAAATAAAAAATTTTAAAATAGAAAAAGGCTTATAGAATAAACATATAAAGAAAGAAAAAAATTTTGTACAGCTGTACAATGTGTTTTAAGCTAATTGTTATTACAAGAGTCAAAAAGTTTAGTTTAATAGTTTATAAAGTAAAAAAGTTACAGTAAGCAAAGGTTTACTATTGAAGAAAGAAAAGTATTTTTTTATAAATTTAGTATAGTAAGTATACAGTGTTTTTAGTCTACAGTAGTGCACAGTAATGTCTTAGGCCTTCCGCTTCACTCACCACTCACTCACTCACTCACTGAGTCAGAGCAACTTCCAGTCCTATGAGCTCCATTCGTGGTAAGTGCCCTATACAGGTGTCACATTTTTTATCTTTTATACCATACTTTTACTGTACCTTTTATATGTTCAGATATGTTTAAATACACGAATACTTACCATTGTGTTAGACTTGCCTACAGTATTCAGTACAGAAACATGCTATACAGGTTTGTAGCCTAGGAACAATAGGCTATACCATACAGCCTAGGTGTGTAGTAGGCCGTACCATCTATGTTTGTGTAAATACACCGTGATGTTTGCACGACGACGAAATCGCTTAACAACGCATTTCTCAGAGCGTATCCCCGTCATTATGCATAGACGCATGACTCTATGTATAGATTGTGAAATGCTTACCACAAAGAGTTTAGTTAACATCCACCATCTCACATAGTTACAGAAAAGGAATGAACTATTGGTACACAAATAACATGGATGAATCTCAAAATAGTTATGTTGAGTGAAAGAAGCCAGATACAAATGAGTACATAAAATAGGATTTCATTTATAAAAGGCAAACTTATTCATAGTGACAAAAAGCAGATCAAGGATTGCATGTGAATGGGGTAAGGTAAGGGGTGGATTTAAAGGGGCAGTAGGAAACTGGAGGTTGATATATTCATGATCTTAATTGTGATGGTTTCACAGATATATGTCAAAATTCATCAAGTTGTACACTTTATTTATATGGATAGTTTATCATATGTTAATTATACCTCGATACTGTTTTTAAAAAATAGCTGGAGAAAAAGGACTGATTACTTTCAAAGGAACAACATACTGATAGTTGACTTCTCAAGGATAGCAATAAAAGCCAGAAGAAAGTGGACTGTTGTATTGTGTTTAAGGAAAACAGCTGTCAACCTGTATGTGCGGTGAAACTATCTTTAAAGAATGAGACAAACACTGAAGAAAGTTCCCTATCACTATAGGTACTCAGTAAAGGCCCTCACAAAGTATAAGCCTCAGAAAAAAGAAAATGATGGCAGAAGGAAGATGCTGGTAGGCATGATGAGCGAAGGCGTGGTAAGCATGTGGGTAAATCTAAGTAAACATTGGCTATATTTTTTAAAATGGCAATATTGTCCAATATTTGGTGTTATGAAAACAAAGGGATGGAACTATACTACTAGTTAGTAATCGCATATAAATTGAGAGAGATATTAAGAGTTCAAGTATTTTTCTTGTACTGTTTGGTAGGAGAGTTAAATATATTGATGGAAAGTTAAATATGCAGGTAAGATTTCTAGATTAACCACCACACAAATAGAAAGAGTGCGTAAAGTGCATAACTTAAAAACCAACAGAAGGAAATATAATGAGGGAAAAAAAGAAGGCAGGAAAGTCAAACAAAATAATTTTGAAAGAAGAAGCCACTACTTAAATATCTGAAACAAACAGTTGAATGTATTGGTAGTTTAAGCAAGGAGAGCTGTGCTTATAAGACATAGTGTCTCTGAACAAAGCAGAGAGCTGTCTTTTGTAGCAGTGGTTTTCAAAGTTGGGTCAAGAGTATTTTCGTATTAATAATAAGATATTGATGGCCTGTTGCACTGTGTTGACATTTGCACTGATGCTACAAAGCGATGGTACGTAAAACTGCACACACTGTAGCACAAAGCAAAGCAGTGGTGCCAAACTGAGCTCGCGGTTGTTCTATTTTTCACTGCTTATCCCCTTAAAACTGCTTCAATTTGGGGTACAAATGTTACCATTTATATAGAAAGGCGAGAGAGTCTTGTGCATATATGTTCATGTTTATACATACACAGCGTATAGATTACGTATGGATTTGCATACATATGCATAAAATAACTCTGGATGTATAAAACCCAGAAATAGTAACTTTGGTTGCCTTCAGGGAAGAAAATTGAGCTTGGAGAGGATATAGAAATAAAGAGGACCAAGGATTAGATCCTGCAGGAACTAACAACTAAGGGGTGCGCAGCAGATGGTCACAGCTTATAAAATCCCCCAGAAAGCAGTGGTCCTTACCTTTGAGAAAGCATGAGAAGCCTGAGCAGCTGGAGAGGTGGGAGGCGTGCGTGTGCCCTTTAACCAGCATTTTCACGTCTAGGAATTCATCTGTGGTTTTCTTACACACTCGAAAAATGCTCTAGGTACAAGGTTATCCATTGAAGCATTATTATTTTTTTTTTGCATCATTCTTTTTAACAGCAAAAGTTTGGAAGCAATTTAAATGTTCACCAGTAGGGCCAAGTTCACCCATCCGGTGGGGGCTCTGCACCTGAAGAATGAGGAAGCTCTGTATATGCTGATATGGAAAGATTTCTAAAGTGTATTGTTATGTGTGAAAAGCAAGGATCAGGAATTTTGTTTGGGGCTTAGGATGTTTTAAACTTTCATCATTGTTCTGAATGCATGCAGCTGGTTATCATATTCCTTATAATTGCAAAATACTGATTTTTTTCCTCTGAGCTCTAGTATTCTGTTATTATGAGCTTTCTTATTACAAGCAATAGTTGGCACAATCAAATTTTTGAGTCATTAAATCTGCTCCATTTTGAGCCAATCACATTTGCCTCCTGCTGTTTTGTGTCTGACCGCCAAGTGCCTTTATATGGTATTTTAGCTTTTTAATGGAGCTTTGATATGTAGCAGTCTCCTTGAGCCACAAGAGGGCAGAAGAACCTTTGGATTGCCACAGCACAGGCTTGTGCTGGGTGTCTTCCTTCTGGTAAAATTGTGCCTGGAATTGTTCTTTCACTAACTCATTCACTAGACGGTGTGCGCCTAGAAGGCAGGGCTTGTGCCCGTCATCAGTGCAGGCGGTAGAGGGATGAGAGGAGACAACATAGATTTTGGAATCATATTTACCTGCCTTTTGCTCTTGTCCGCCCTTGCAAATTACTTAGTGAACTAGTTACAGTGCTTAACCTCTCTCAGAGCTTGAATATGCAAGATACATATGCAATATGCAAGAATTTGCCAGTCTCACTAGAGAGTTGAGGCTTCAGGGTAAGCTGGACCTGACTTTGAGCCCCAGCTCTGCTTCTCTGTGTAATTTATTTACTCTGTGTGAACCTGAGTTTTATCACCTGCAGAGCTAGTTAGGACTCAATGAGATAATGCTTTAGAAGCTCTTAGCACTGTATTGTGGCGAGCACTAAAGAAATAACTGTTATAATTATAATACCAGATACCAGCGCAGATGGATAATAGATCCTCAGTAATTTTTATGTGGCTCTGTGTTATGTATTTAATAATTTCTTTATTTGATTACAAGCAAGGTGGTAATATTTTCTTTAGGACAGTTTCACAGCTCCTTTTCTTAGAGGAGCCCTCAAAACGTTTGTGGTTGCTTTTATTTATTTTCTTTCGAAGAATTAGTCTTTTAATAGTATAGCATATTCTGAATTTTTGTGGAGAGTCTCAATTTTAAAGCTTCCGTACCATTGTGATTTTACGTATTTTCATTTTTGATTGGAAAATATGGTATATGTGCCATTTACTGAGACAGAGTTGGGCAACATGATGTTGCATCAAGGTTACAATGCCTGTCAGGTTGGGATCATGGAAAAGTGACTGCGAGATAAAGATTAGTGTGTGAAAAGCAAGTTAGGAAGTAGCTTTGGGATTAATACCCCTGAAAGGAAAAGAACGGAAAGGGAGGAGCAGGAAGCCAGATCCCAGAGAGGGAGAAGGCGGACCGTGATTCAGTCCCAAGAAGGGCCTCAGCCGACCCCAGGGGGACCATGAAGGTGGGATGGCCCTTCTGAGTTAGGCGAGAGGGCTGTATCTTTATAGTTCCTCCTTGACTAGTCATTGGATGCCACTAGTCATTGGATGAGGCCACCCTAGGAAGGAGCATGACCCTGGGCAAGGCAGCTCTCTTTAGCCAGGGCATTTCCTGAGGAGGGCTGACAGCTGAGGGCTTTCTGCCCGCCATGATCCCAGCAGCTGCGGACTTGTCCTTCTTTCCTTGAGGGGGGATCTGAGGGGCACACTACAGCTTCCACCAGTGCCCAAGTCACCTGAAAGGGAAAATAGTAATATGGCTAGTGCAGTGTAACAAAAGATAACTTTAAACAGAGTTGCTTCTAAGTAATGTGCAGGAATAATTGTTGTTTTTAACTTTAAGAATTTATAATATTTTAGTCTGAATGAACCCTACTGGTACAAACTACCCCAAAATTTCAATGGCTTGATACACTGAAGGTTTATTTCTCTCCTGTCACAATCTAGTGCAAGTCTGTGGGGGTTGGGGGAAGAGGTTTGTTCCACTTAATTTCATTCAGGGACACAGACTCCTTCCATCTAGTGACACTGCTAGCCCCTAGGGCCTTAGAGGCCTCCGCTGGGTCTTCTGATCCAGCTCACAGAGGAGAAATGGGCAAGAACATGGAGAATGTGCTGAAGGTCTCTATGGGCCAGGCCTGGAGGTGATATGCTTCTGCAACCCACATTCCATTGACTAGACCCCAGTCCGTGGTCCCATCTACTAAGGGGCCCTACTAGAGTAGTCATGTGCCCAGGAGGAAAAGGAAGGACATGTAGCCCTCGCTGCTGCAGTGTTATATGGCTTATACCCTCATGGTGGCTGGATTTCATCACTATTGGCTAATCAAAGACACTTCAAAACCTCATGCTTTTAATTTCCCAGAGTTACGTATTTAAGTTGCCACCATCATAATGTCATGGTTTTATCTACCTGAGGGGTATTTTGAAAGGCTTAGGAAAGCCAAATTTTATCAGAGAGAAGGGAAAGAACAGAGTAATACAGAGCAGAGAATTTCAGAATTCTTTTCTCTGGAAAGGCAAAATGAGGCAAAATCTTCAGGGGTGTGTGTGTGTGTTTATTTTTAGTGGTACAGAAGCAAATTGAAAAGCCTCTGATCCTGCCGTAAGGCTATGAAAACAAGCTCTTCTCCCTCCTCAGCTGTAGAGGAATGTCTTCCACATGTAACGCGGAGGTAGCTGGGAGATAGAGGATTACCAGGGAGTGTTCATGTAAATTGCGCTGATAGCTCCTTGCGGGATTCATGTGACGACCACCCAAGCAGCCCTTGAGTTGTAGGGAGAGAAGCCAAGGTGGAGATAGGACTTTTTCTGTCAGTCAGCAGGTCTCACTGCTGAGTGACAGTTGGTCTTTACTCAGCTTTGTTCTAGGTAGTGTGGGGCACACAGGACGAGAGGCACTGAGACCTGCAAAGGCTGCAGACTGAAAGCTGGGGCTCACAGAAAGGAACCAAGGGTAAGACAGGGCCAGATCAAGTGTTTCAGAGATGAGAAAGAAAGCAAAATCCAGGAAGGCTTTGAGAAAGAGAGGGGCTCTGAATCAGGGACCCTGACGGATGGGGTAAGACACTTGGGGACCTGGGGAAAGTGCTCTAGAGAAGTAGAACATGAGCAGTGTTTCTGAAGTGGCAGTGATTGCTGACACACGAAGAATGGTGGCGAGCGAGGAGCAGTGAGACAAAAGCTTGGGGGGAGAGGGCAGAATCAGATTATAGAGGGCCTTAATGTCAAATAGGCAAGTTTGGATTTGATGCAGTGGGGCCATTAAGCGTTCTTAGACTTAATAGAAATACCTGGTGGAAACGTGGTGGTCTGGACTTCCGTGTGAAGGAGAATTAACAGAACACAAAGGTTTCTTCTGGAATTTCTATTTGAGTACCTAGAATTTAAAATTGTCTTCCTTTATTCCCTCAGAAAAGTTCATTCCACAGCCATTTAATTGTACTTATTAAGCTAGTTATACCAGTCTCTAAAGATTAAAATTAAATAAACCCCAGTCCCTACTTTTAAGGAAATTATAGTCTGGTTAGATAAAATATACTTTATAATAAATGCACTAGGTGTTACATATGCTAAGATAGAGGGATGTGTCGCTGTGCTTACAGTGCTTGCCAACCTTTTAAAAAGTCCACACTGTCCTGTGAAAACATGGAAATCTCACAGTCTCCCTTGATATTTGAAAATAAAATAAATACAGTAATTAAAAATTAATTAAGGAAAAATCTTCTGCCCCACCTCCACCCTGACTCTCTGATTATTACCGTTAT